CAACAGATCCATAAAATTCCCCTTTCTGTTTCCTTCCCGCAGATTTCTGGGAAGCCCGGAGCCATGCGGGTGAGCGGGGGATGGTGGGACACAGGGAATGGCTTCCTGCTGGAAAATGGGAGATTTGGGTGGGATTTGGGGAAGAAACTATTCCCAATGAGGGCATGAAGGGGCTGGGATGGAATTGCCAAGGAAGTTGTGGATTTCCCATCCCTGGAAGTGTCCAAGGCCAGGTTGGATGGGACTTGGAGTCACCTGGAACAGCAGAAGGGGTCCCTGCCCTTGGAAGGGTGGAATTGCATGGGATTCCAGGTTCTTCCAAACCAAACCATTCCATGATTCCATGAAAATGTAGTGGCCACCTGACCAAGTCACCCTGGTATGGCACTCCCAGTCATCCCAAAATTCCACAGTGTCAGAGACATTCTGGCCATATTGGAATCCAGGGGTGTGCCTGGGATGGGATGAGATTGGGACACAATTCCAGGGAGGATGGATGGGAGGAGAAAGAGGGAATTGTGCCCTGAGGAAAGACTCAGCCAGGAGAGCTCTGGGATGTCCACAAGGCCCAGGAGGCTGCTCTGGGATCCCCTCCAATGTCACCCACTCTGGGATTAGGGGACTTGGGAGTTGGGAGATTCAGGAATTGCAGCATTTGGGGATTTGGGAATGTCACGGCTCCTCTGTTCGTGAGTGGTCACATCCCCTGCCCTGAGGAATTCAAATTCCTTGTTGAACCATCCCAGGACCTCACCCATGATGGGATTTTGAGATTTCAGGATTCTAGGATTCTGGGAGTCATGGACTCTCTGATTCCATGGCCCTTCAGCTCCTCAGTGGCTGCATCCCTTGTTCCAGCAAAGGTTAATATTCCCTGTTGTCCACCACCAGGATCTCACCCACTCAGCGATTCTGTAATTCTGGGATTTGGCGATTTTGGTATTTAGCGATTTTAGGATTTGGGGATTCTGGTATTCAGGACTTCTGTGGCCCCTCAGTTCCTCAGTGGCCGCATCCCCTGCAGTCCCCAGGAATCTCCAATCCCTTGTGGAAGCCACTGGGAGCGCCTGGGGTCGCTCCACTCACAGGATGATTCCCCTTTCCCCTGCAGTTTCCGTGGTGCTGGATCCAGAGATGTGGCCCCTGTATCTGCAGAATGTGCCGTATCAGTCCCGGTGGGAGGTGCTGGTGGCACAGGAGGCACTGGGAGCCAGGAAATGCTACTGGGAGGTGGAGCTGGGCCAGCAGCGGCGCTGGGTGGTGGGAGTGTTGGGGAGCAGATGGAGCATCCCCAGCCTGCATACCCAGCATTCCTGGGATTTCTGGGCTCTTGCCGGATTCAACAGAGAGCTTTTCTCCTGTGATTGTGTCAGCCGCCACAAGCTTGGGGAGCAGCGGAAGGGTTTCTCTGTGGTCGGGGTGTTCCTGGACCTGGAGAAAGCGCAGCTGGAATTTTATGACGTGGAGCGGAGGGATCTGATGGTAGCGAGGTCGCTGCGGGCCGGGGAGAATCCCGCAGGAAAGTTCTTCCCGTTTGTGTCCCGAGGGGAAGAGGGGCCTCTCCGGATCTGCCCGGTGCCGATCCCGGTGCCAATTTAAATCTGGGTGGGAGCGGGGAAAGGATCCGCGGGAAGTAGGGAAGGGGGAAATCCTGAATGTCAGGGAGGGGGAATTAAATATGGGGGAAGTTGAAGCCGTGGAAGGTAAAAAAAAATAATAAAATAAAAGGAGGAAATTAAAAAATTGGGAAGAGAGGAAAAGGTAAAAGGGGAAGAGGTGAAAATGTAAAAAGCAGAAGGGAAGGTGGAAAAGAAAAAGGTAGAAAAACAGGGGAAAGGGTAGGAAAAAACCCTTTAAAGTGGAAGGGTATAAAGAAAAAAAAAACAAAGTGGGGAAAAAAAAAACCAAGGTAAAAAAGTGGAAAACGTGAAAGGAAAATGAAAAAGGGGGGAAGTTAAAAACGAAGAAAAAATGATGTAAAAGGGGGAAAAGATTAAAAAAGGGAGGAAGATAAAATACAAGGGCGAAAGGCAAAAAATTAGACAAAGAGTGAGGGTAAGGTAGAGAAAGTGTGGAAAAAGTTAAAGAAAAGGATAATGGGGGAAAAGTAGAGAAAATGGGGGAAAAATAAAGAAAGGTGGAAAAGGGGGCAAGGTAAAAAGGTGGGGAAGGTGCAACAAAAATTTCCATGTTTCTCTTCCACATTCCAGCCCCGTTTTCATGGGTGTGCTTTGTTCTCTGAGCCCCTGGAATTGGAATATCCCTTCCCTAGTTCAGGTTTTTGTTGGATCACTCCCACCTGGAATCTGATCCGTTT